TTAAATTTAATTTAATTTATTATATTTGTGTAGGATTATTCAAAAAATATATGAAGGTGCATCTGAAATGCAAAAGCTACTGAATAAATGAAAAAGTATATTTCAAGTTCAATATTCTAGGAAGATGGATTAGAGTCGGAATTCAACGAATTCTTGGGTGTTCTTTTGTTTACATATCATCTGTCACGAGCAAAATAAGATATTATCTGTAGTAAACCGCACAACAATTGTTAGTACACAAAAATATAACTTACGATGAATAAATATATCGGTTATATATCTACATAATCGGAATCTTATCACAAAATACAATAACATTTCATTCTACACAAAAAAATACATATTTCTTAACTCACCTAATAATTTCATTACTTCATTTCGATTTAAGTATACGTCAAAATTGGCATAACACCATCTTATCGACACTATCACAAGTATTTTAATTATAATCAAATATTTAAAAATTTCCATGTTATAAATAATTTTATACTAAATTGTCAATCACAACTATACATAATGTCATTTTATTTACTTCACCCACGCGCAAGAAGCTTCAGACACAATAAACACAGGTACTTATAGAAACAAACGCACATTTTCACTTGAAATACTAATTATTAGGCAGTGGCGATTAATACATAAATTAATTTGTTTTCTGTAATTAATTCAAATGGTAAGCATAATAATTTAATTACTATCTACATTGTTCTGTTTCATATCAAATAAATATACGCGTTTTGACACGCCACTACCTACAAGCCAGACTTATTTTCTCTTTCTGAAACTTTCAATGCACGAACACAACCCACAGACGTCTTTTTGTTTGGTTTTACGAGTGCGCACGATCATTGACGAAGCTTAGTGAAAGGACATGAGCACGCAACTCGTGGGCTTAAAACTTAAGAAAAATAAACTATCCCTGCAAAATGGCCGCCTATTTTATTTCATATAATTTATCGTTTCATTTATTCAGAGCTTTGTCCCTACATTAATAACTAATTCATATAAAAAAACATTAAGCTTCCTTATATTACTTTATAAAAGCGTTTTCGTAATGACGCCTCTTATTATATCAAGCAAATAGTTTAGGAACGTCTTGATGCCATTGAAACAATTAACAATATATAATCATGCTGATTTAATACATGCAAAGCTCAGTAATGATATGATCATTTACTCCAACATCTACTAGAGTTTTATGTACATATTTTGGCCTTAAGTTACTTATTATCTAAAATATACTTCCATGATTCATATATATTTGCTTTTACATGAAAATCTGTATGTAACCATCAAACCTAGGAATCTAAATTGAAATGATCATATACCTATAATCTGAAATGATCATATAACTATAGTCCAGAATATACATAATAGCCTATTCGTAGAATTAAAAAATATGTATCTTTATCAGATACAGCATTGAGCCTTTTTTAATTTGACGAATTGAATGCTTTATATATTTAATTTCTGTCAACGTCTCAAAAAATCTGTATATATACACATATTTATATTTATAAAAAATATAAATTATACTTTATATTGATTTAGCACCCGATCTTTATACCTAACTAATATATATTTATATTATGTAAATAATATAAATATATATATTTTCTACATTACATATAATTGTTAATGTACATAATTTACACACACACACTGATTGATCTGTGCATGTGTATGAACAAGAGTAAACGTAAGACTATAAATAACCAAGCTATGATGAAAATATTTATACATGAACATATAGAAATAAAAAGAATTTAGTTCTAAATATATAAAGTTACAAGAATACAGCCTAAAACAAAATTTGATTCTTAATGTATAAAATCAATTTTTTAAAAATGCAAAATCATCATAGCTGAAATAAAACTATTATATTTGGTCAAAATCTTATTATTAGTTTATCCATTATGTAATATGCTACATAATCTGGAAATTTATAGTAAATGTAATAAATAGCTAAAATATTTCATGTTCCTTAAAAAAGAAACTTGTTTGTTAAAATGTTATGTTAAAACACAATTGCGTAAGTAATACATCAGGAAATTATATTTTACAATTTTTTATATTATTACATAGTCATTAAAATTAAAAGAATATAAAAATAAATCAAAAAATAAAAGTTAAACATTATAGAAAAATCAATTCTTGTAAAATAAATTAAGTGCAGATATTGATCTTGGAATCACTTTATTTCTTAACCAATGTAAATTACTTTTATTACAAACTACATATGTTATCTGAAATAAGTTTCCCAGAATGCTAGATCAATTTTACATAAAGAATGTTTCGTGGAGTATAATTATGTAATATATTAAAGTTAATGCCTTGATCTATGATCTTCACCACGTCGGTCGCGTTCTCTATCACGTTCAATATCTCTGCGACCATCGCGTTCTCGTTCGCGGTAACGGTCGTCATAATAACCTCCACCCCTTTTCGGAGGCTCTGACACGGGACCGACATCCACTACGTCACCTGGTGATTTGTTAGCCATAGCACGCCCTGAACGACTTGAACTTCCTTCCCTTGATTCTCGATAATGATCATGGCGTTCCCTGTCCCTACTTCTAGATCTGTCTCTATAACTCTCACTGTAATAGCGATCTCGCTCTCTCTCGCTCCTCTCACGATCGCGATCTCTATCGCGTTCTCTATACCTGGACGGCGAACGTTCACGCCTTGGCCTTCTGTGAGACCTTTCACGAGATCTGGATCGTTCCCTTCTTGAAGAACCGTAACTCTTAGTCTCTACCCCATGCAATGTATCTTGCAAGGAGCTGATCAAGATTTTGCATCGATCATCATTAGATACCTTTGACTGTTTAATTAATGAAATAGCTGTTACTAGGGTTTCTATTGCACTGGCATATTCTCCAGCAGCTGCATCAGACACAGCACGTGCAATGGCGGAACTACTAACAGTACGGTTTCTGCCCATGATCTCTTCAAACTCTTTTTCACTGACAGGAGGACTAGATTCTACGACAGGACCAGGGTAAGGAGCTTGTGCTGGTTTGCCAGGCCATGGAGCACGAGGTGGCATTCCACCACCAGCTTGTGGAAAATGTTGTTGTTGAACATGCGGAGGAGCACCAGGGTGCTGTGGAGGACCACCATGTTGAGGACCATGAGGTGGACCAATAGGCGGGCCATGCTGAACAGGGACATGAGGCGGACCTGCTGGTCTAGGTTGGTTGAAGAATGCAGGATTTACATGTGGGGCTGGACCACCTTGCATTTGAGGCGGACCTGAAATGAAATATAATTCTTATTACTTATAAGTTTACTAATGTACATTTTGGTAACACTATCCTATAATAATTCAGTTAGTACATTTTCTTTAAATCTTATAATACAATGATTTCCATACGAAGTATGATTCAATGTATTTAAATAATACCTGTATTTAATAATTACTAAAACTATAAAATAAATCATTAAATACCTTGTGGAGGCCCTTGTGGTGGTCCATTTGGTGGCATATGAGGACCAGGCTGTGGTGGTTGACCAAATTGTCCAGGATGACCTGGAGGCACACCCATATGAGGAGGTCTCTGCCATTCAGGTCGTGGCCCCCGCATGTCCATTTGACCGGGCATACGTGGAGGACCCTGAGAACCTGGTGGACCGCCTTGGAACATAGGTCTCATCTGTTGAGGAGGTCCCTGAGGTGGCCGCTGCATCATTGGTTGCCGAGGAGGTCCATTACCACCACCATTTGGCCGTAATTGCGGATTCCACTGGCCCTGCTGTTGTTGGAACTGCACTGGCGGACCTTGCTGTGGTGGCCTATGCATTGGTGGCCCTATAAGCAAGTATTGCATATAAGTATTGTTATTGAATAATATAAAATCTCTCCTACAGCCACTTGTTTAATATATAAAAGTTAACAGTTTTGAAACAAATATATCATTTTGATCAAACTAAAAAGTTTTTAAATGATATATACAATATATACTGAACTGAAAAAAATTATGGCTACACAGATAAAATAGTGTACTCATACTACCTTGCATTCTCATTGGAGGTCCCTGAGGTCCCATTCCAGGTGGTCCCATGGGCCTCTGTTGGTGCATCATATGCTGAGGTCCCATAGGTCCAGACTGCATATGTTGTTGTGGTGAAGCCCCTGGATGAGGACCTTTAGGTCCAGCATTTGAAGAAGGTGTCGGCCTGCTTTTTGACTGGCTTTCAAATTGATTTAGAGCTTGCTTGGTAGGTAAAGTAACTACTGGATTTTGCCCATGAAGTTCTTTTTTTGGCAACCTGTCCATACACAGTCGCATTGAAGGTTCTGAGCCAAGACTGATCATGCAGAAGCCTTTAGATAAACCATTGGCTCGATTTTCAAAGAATTTGACATCTGCAAAATCTTTTACTCCGATTTCTTGAACGGCTGCTGCTATATCTTGATCAGTTGTCCACCACGTGAGATTTCCAATATATAATTGGTGTTTTCGACCATGGCTTATACCTATATTGTTTCCAGTATGGTGTGTTGCAGTTCCATTAGTGTCTTCAGGTGCATGATGTATTCCACTTTGCACTGCTGTTGCAGCTCCTTCTGTTGGTGGAATGTCATGAGGACCTGTAGGTGCAGCCACTACATCATCATATAAGTCAACATTTTCATTGCCGAATTCATCTTCGGCAAAATCTGGATCAATATCATCCGCATAAAGATCGATATCTCCAACATCACCCATGTTGGAAATTTATATTTAAATTAAAATGATGAACTTTAAGCTATCTCCTTTTTAGTTATGAATGTTACTTAGGCAGTATGGATAAACATCATTTCCTTTACAAAAGTTCCTATAAAACAAAAGTTAATGATATAGCTTATTACAGTAACCATGAATTATTCTCTAAATACTCATACCTTAACTTTAGAATAAATCATTTCTTATAATTATGTGTTCATTAAATATACTGTATGAGCAAAATTCAATAGGAAGGAAATATAGGAAAAAATCATATGCAGAAGTTCTAATGAAATTATTTATTTCTTTCATTTAATAAATTTTTAACATTTTTTGTTTACATAGCTCTTTTGTATAGTAAGAAAAATGTACAAATGTACTTCATATTTTTAATCAAATGCAATAATTTAACCTATTAAAATAGGAATTAATAAAGGTAAATTGGAAAATTACAATAAAATATGATAAAAATGTATTTATGACAGCTGAGATATTTAGGTGTTAAACTATTAAATTTAATAAAGACATAATATCTAAACCAACATACAGATGAATTGAATATTAATCAAAAAAGAAATAATAACAGTTTTTAAAAACAAATTAAATACCTAATTCCCGTATTAACATCTATTTGGGAAACATTTTCATGAATTCCCTCTTAAAATAACAGCATACTGTTTCGATGGTGATATGATGATTACATTTATATAAAAGTATGCACATCTAGCTCATACTTGAGCAGATACAATGTTATGTATAAAAGGTAATATGTACATAAGTTTTATATTATAGAAATATATTAATATATTTTATCATATAAAACAATTGTTGCAAATGTTTCCAAATCAATACACCAAGTTATACTAAAATATATAGTTTATATAAAACAAGCGCAAATGTAATATAATATATGTACGTATCAAAGAATAATTGTACATGTCAAGTTATTTGTATGCGCAAAATTCTTTAATACACATATGAATATATATACTTCGTATATTGAAAGTACACAATATTGAAATTATAAATATGGTTATTAAATGTATGCTGATATGAGTAATTAAAGGCAATGCAGGCTTTTGATTACACATAAAGCAATAATATACATATCATGGCGAAATTACAAGGCACATTAGATTTTTTAACATTTTCAAAAATATTCAGTCATCAATTTTATGAAGAAATATCTATAGAAAACTAATACATATTTATAACCGAATATAACATAGTCTATAACCGCATATAAATAACCAGTAACGTCATATTTTTGCACAGTGCAATTAACAAATTTATACCAGAATATTAAATATATGTATAAATTAATTATTAGAAATTGTAAAATATTACAATCAAAATCAAATAGAATAGATAATGCTAAATTTGAAATACAATATCTCGAAAACAATACCAAATTTGCTTAAATATTTTACATGAAGTCATATATCATATACAAGATTACATAAAGCAGCCATTACAGTCGAAATGGAAGCGAGTCGTCGGAAGCGTCAGAAATTGACTGATACATAAATGCCTCAAAAACTCTCAAAATAATGTACCATTGTATATTCTACTAACAAACAAGTTTTGGCATATTAATATAAGACTACTTTTGTAATATAATAGAAAAAACAGTAATAGTACAATTAAAAACTAGCTAACCTCACTTGCGCTTCTAGCCTTTTTTCTTGCTTTTACACAATTATCTTTGTACATACGTGTATAATTCTATGAGCTAAATACACTGAATGCAAAATCGTCATGTAATATTAGAACATGCTGCATACAACACCAATAATTTATTACAATAACACGCGTTTAACACTTCTAAAAACACAACGCCGCAAAAAAGCTTCGCTGTAATGCATTTTCCTTTACACCATAGAGACACGATCGTTTACATTTAACTTCGGGATTAGCCGCTCAGTCTTATATTTACTCTCTGCTCACTCTACGACGGACGCAGCAGTAGTGACATCTTTGAACATAAATACGAACAATTTGGTCAGTTATGTACTACAATAGAAGGCACCATTGATAAATAAACAAGAACTATTTATATATAATGTATTTATTGAGACATTTTAAAACAAAATATGTTATTTGTATTATATTCTTTAGAATTAAATAATTTTGTATAATCAATAAATGTATATATCAGGTGTTATTTAATTTTGTTATATGCTCAAACGTCCCACATAAATTGAGTTGTTTTTTTGTAACTTCACAAATAAAGGCGCAATAATCTCGAAATGAAACGTTTTTTACTTATAAAATCACAATTATACATAATTTTTTAAAGATGACTTCAAAATTATAAAGATTAGGGTTTTAGGAACCTCATCTCTGTCAAATATTAAGCTTTTCATATTGTATTTCATATTCATATGTAATTTGTTTCACGTCTGTTCAATAAAATTTATCATACACAATTATTAAAAAATATAATATATTGAATTATAAGTGTAAATGGTTTGTGAATATTGAAAGACAAAAAGTTTTGTTTATGATTAAGTAATGTAAGACTTTCCTATTGAAGATATACATTAATTTATAGTCAGTTTTTTTTTAATTTTTTAACAAGTTTTTTTTTAACAACGAATTGAAAAGTATTGATCACCATGAAGCACAAAGAAAGAGTTCAATCAGTTTTATATTATTTTTATACATGTAATACATTATTATTTAAATGCTTTTTTCTTAACTTGTATATTTAAGTTTTACGAATTTAATATATATTAGTAAATAATAATGTTGATAATTAACTTTCCGTAGGGTATGTACGTAATGGGCCGTTTTGAAGGTTTCTGAACATTTTGGCATACCTCAGAAAAAATGTGTGTGTGTGTGTATGTATGTATGGATACAAATTTCCAGTCACGTTTTCGGGCGCACGCAAAACATCAAACGATATGAATTATTCAAAAAACATTCGATTCCTATTGATAGGGAGATGAGCTGATTAGTTTTTGGCAAAGGCAGGCCCAGCCATTTTGAAGATACGGAGCTAATGTGTAAAAAATGGCAGTTTTTGAGAGATCTAAGCATCCGATTTAAGTGCTTCAAAGAACTTTCTGCTTGTCTTAACAAAATAATTGATTTTGGAAAAAAAAAGGTTTCAACTTTTTTTTTTTTCAAAATTTTTTTTTGTATATCGAAAATAATTCAGATTTTATAATTCTTATAAATATTAGACAATGTTACAATATTCATAATAATCTATTTGAAAACATTCAGTATTCCTCGAACATTTTGTTATGGTACGGGAACTTCCAGCAATTTGCCTTAAGGCACGATGCCATACACCCCACTAGTTTTAATTTTCAATCGAATGTTTAATTAAAAAAAAAACAATTCCTAGTCGTTGAAGAAGAGAACATTATCTCCAAAACGTAGAATTACAAAATGAAAAAAAATATATAAATAATTGTTAGAAGAAAAAGGAGGCTTTTAGTTCAGAAAATTAAAAGCAAATATATGTGCACATACACACACACACACCATATATATATATATATATATATATATATATATATATTGCTTCTTTTTTCTTTTTCTTCGACGTTTTGGGGATACAGAGGATGTTCCCTTCTTTAGAAGCTTAATAAATAAACATGTGAAAAATCGAATATATCTTGACTCCACACTTTATAATATTTGAGTTTTATTTTATTTGTATATAAAAATTTGTATAGAGTTTGTTCAAAACTAATTCCATATTTTAACAAATTTTCAATATTTATCATTAATATTAAATCTTTATCGAGAAAACTGCGTCCAAATGAAACTTGTCTTAAAAAATCTCTATCCTGAGTTGTAGGTGTTACTATGTTCTTAATTAGCTAGTAATTAGTGAGAGTACAAACGTATCCATATATGCACGTTTCTCACGTTTTCAACTAAAAATAGTGAATCTATTTGATCGGCCGTTTGTTCGTACATCTCGAAATCAGTGGACACGTTGACGATAGACGGTATAATGTCCAGTCCGGTTTTGCACATATGATGTTTGTACTTGTGTATATATATCGCATTGTATTGAAGCCAGTGCATTATCGACATCAGAACCGCGACGATACATAATTTCAAACTCATACTAACGGTCAAAATCATTGGACACCAAGTTGGTTGTTTCAGAAATGTGTGAACCATACAATTATAAAACCAAGTTTATTTCGAATTGACATAAAAACGCGAGTGATTTGTTAAGATATGCATGTGAAAGACAATTATTGAATCATATGATGGCTAAGAAAGTTTTACAAAACACAACTCTAGTTCCAAATTTACAAGACATACTCCTGCTGCTTCTTCTTAGAATGGACTTACCCGATATCAAGCCAGGACACATTTCATGATATTAACAATTCTCACTATTTATAAATTTTATGTTTTAAGTACAAACATTGCGACGTTGATTTATGAAATTTTCGTTTTTATTGACTTTCGACAATTCGTGAGCTTCGTTAAATAATACTGTAAACAATTCCGTCCGAATTGCGGATTCCCGCAAAGTTGTGTAGTTTGAAAAGCGAAGATGTCGTTGAAACAGTGGTTGGCATTGTTGAGTTTTTACGTGACATACCTTTTTTTGGGAGCGAGCATCTTCTACCATATCGAAAGTCGACTAGAATTGGCCAGGAGACAACAAGACCGGATCGATCGCTATGAAATCCATGGTAGGAAATAAAATTTACAGAGTATTAAAAAAACTAAGTAAAAATTCATTATTTATTCAAAAAATATCATTTTGTCTTCACATTATTAAAAGTACTTACTATACCAAAGACAAAATTCAATATTTTAATTAATGATATCGCTAACATTGGAGTATTTGGTTCTTAGGGTGAGTGCATCACAAATTAATGTTTAACTTTCTTCTCTTGTTTATTATTTTCACTACCAATTTATTCACATTTTATACACTTTCACACATTTTCTTCGAACTTTCTGTTTTTATGCTTCCGGGTCTGTGCTTCGGCTTTCAGTTCTCTGTATTTTCTTTTTTGCGTAGGTCATCAATCATCTGCATTCTTCTTCTTCCCAATCTCTTTAGTCCTTCTATTTTATCTACAACGACGTAGGAAGCACTCTTTTTGCAAATTTTTACCTCCGTATATAGAGTAAAAACAACCAGGTTACATTAAACAGCGTTAAAAACACACTTCTACAATGGTGAATTTTGTAAGTTTTACTGAACATAGTCAGATAGTTGTTCGTTTGATATGTGGTGTTTGTTGTGTCGTAATTGGCTTGGCAGAATGTGTACCTCCGTCTATGGAATAAAAAACACCAGGTTAAAATTTTTGAAAAACAGTGTTAAAAACGCATTTCTACAATAATGTTCATCAATTAGCAAGTTTTTCTGAACATAGTCAAATAGTTGTTCGTTTGATATGTTGTATTTGTTGTGTTGTAATTGGTTTGGCAGAATGTGTACCTCCGTCTATGGAGTAAAAAGGATCAGGATGCAAATTTTTGAAAAACAGTGTTAAAAACACAGTTCTACAATGGTGAATTTTGGAAGTTTTACTGAACATAGTCAGATAGTTGTTCGTTTGATATGTGGTATTTGTTGTGTTGTAATTGGTTTGGCAGAATGTGTACCTCCGTCTATGGAGTAAAAAAGACCAGGTTAAAATTTTTGAAAAACAGTGTTAAAAACACATTTCTATAATGATGATGATCAGTTAGCAGAATTTTGGAAGTTTTACTGAACACAGTCAGATAATTGTTCGTTTGTAATGTGGTATTTGTTGTGTTGTAATTGGTTTGGCAGAATGTGTACCTCCGTCTATGGAGTAAAAAAGACCAGGTTAAAATTTTTGAAAAACAGTGTTAAAAACACATTTCTATAATGATGATGATCAGTTAGCAGAATTTTGGAAGTTTTACTGAACACAGTCAGATAATTGTTCGTTTGTAATGTGGTATTTGTTGTGTTGTAATTGGTTTGGCAGAATGTGTATCTCCGTCTATAGAGTAAAAAGAACCAGGTTAAAATTTTTGAAAAACAGTGTTAAAAACACATTTCTATAATGATGATCATCAGTTAGCAGAATTTTGGAAGTTTTATTGAACATAGTCAGATAGTTGTTCATTTGATATGTTGTATTTGTTGTGTTCTAATTGGTTTGGTTTTTACAATATAATTGTTCAAAGTCAAATTGGACCTTTGTGGCCCTCCCTACCCTATATAAATATATATATATTTATAATTATTTATTTAGATATTTCAATTATTAATTTAAAGTGAATGTAATTATCTTGCCGAAGTAATTTGATTCAGGTGTTTGTATTTTGCACAAGAATAATGTAACCTGAATCCATGTAATCAATAATATCTAATGAAATCAATAATATTTAATTTCAAGCGATTGTTAATAATAAGATACAATGAATATTTCTATTTGTAACATTATACACAATTGTCATTAAAATACTGTTAATCTCAGTTGAATTTGAGATGTTAAAATAATACAAAAGCATGTATGTTTATTTTTCAAAACTACTATCAAATTTTATAAAAATATTCGTTTTAATTATAATTTAAATTTCTGACATTTTATCCAAAACTTGCTTAAAGAGATCAGTTAAATATTAATATCAGCCCATGACTTATTAATTTTGTTTACAATTTAATTCACAAATATTTATAATAGCTACTACTTTATAAATTCTGCATATGGCATGCACTTCGGTATTTAAATCAATTAATATAAATTGACTTAAGTTAACCGATTATATTTTCAAATCCGTTGTTTACAATAATATTTACAATTACAATTGCTCTAAATCATATTGTTTATAAATGAAAAAACAAACAAGTGATTCAATTCAGTAGTTGAAATTTGTATCAAATATAATCGTGCATGTGTTTATAATAACGATTAACAAAGACGAGTGTGAATATAAATGAATAAATAAAATCATTGAAAACAAAATTAATTATAAACTAAATTATAAATAATAGTTTTATTTTTAGTGCTCTCTCCTCGATTGCTCCTGTATTTAATATCAGTTACAAGATTACAAATAAATATTTCAAAATAATTCCTTTTTGAGGTCAATAAAAATTTGTGCTACATTTTAATTTTTATTCAATACCACAGCTTATCAGTATTTTGAATATTATTTCAAAGAATCTTGTTTAAATCTAGTTTCGTGCGTCAAAATCTAATCCCATGGATTAAATTTTCAATCATATCATTTAATAATCTTTTACTAATCAGCTATATAATCTTGAAATATAATAAAACGCGGAACAATAATCTTATTTACAATAGACGTTGGAAAAATCACTTTTATTTATCAGATGATTTTAAATCACTTGGTTTCTAAGTTAGAATATTTCTTATATTGATGTTGGTACTCATGAAATGATAAGATGTACTGATATGATAATAATAATATATGTTAAGTTTATTCTTTTCGCTGTATTTAATGAAAGAAAAAATGATCTAGTACTAACAATAAGACTTATTAAGATGGATAAAGTATAATTGCATATTCATATCTATTATACGTTTTAATCAAATTATTAGAGCGCTTGTATAGTTGTAAAGGCATTAAAACTTGTTACACAATATGATAATTTACATGTATGTATATATAAATATATATATACAGGTGTAAACAAAGTTTTTCGAAAAGCGTCCATATAGTTATTAAAATTACTAAATTTTCAAAAAGACATCTAAATGGTTCAAATCCGACCTTCTACCCCTAGAATTGATAATATAATGAATATTTAAATTTATAAAATAATCAATCAATAATTTGAAACAGAAAGTTTTTATTTTATTAGTTTCTTCATTGATTTTCATGTATTTTTCTGTAGTTTTATTATTATAGCAAAAGCATCAAACTGGGTCTCTCTATTTTCATTTTTAATAATTGGACTGTTAATTTTTCTTCTTGTTTATAATTTTATATAACATATTTATGGACCATCTTTAATTTATGGGTATTTAAAAATTATGATTTAAAAACTTAATAGACACATTTTAAAAATAAACTTAATTTTTTAAAATCGATGATGAAATCTTAAAAACAATATTTTCTATAGTTACTAAGTATAGTCAGTATAATTTGGAATATATATTATAGGAGAAAATAATTTTTTAAAATCGATGAAAACTTAACAATTTTTTAAAATCGATGATGAATTCTCAAAAACAATACTTTGTATAGTTACCAAGTGTAGTCAGTTTAATTTTGGAATATGTATTAATGAAGAGATCTCATTTAGAAAGATTAAGATTAGGTTTTAGAGATAATTCAACTGAGATAATAACTATGAACAAATAAATTTAATAACATTATCAAATGAGGCCGTTTATGTACAAATGATTAATTACTAACACGTTTGAATCGTAAATTTGGTATAAAATTTAATTTGATACAATCTTCATTAATAAATTTTTACTGCTTCGTAAATATGAAGATGAGATTTGATTTCCAATAACTGCTTTCGCGTTTGTATATATATATATATATATATATATAATATATATATATATTATATATATATATATATAATATCATCAATACCTGTTAGTTTAAGAAATAGTTTCAAGTCCTCCCTGTAACTTTAAAATTGATGTCTGTTTTCCTGAAATTTAAAAAGTATGTATATACATATTCATTCTAAATTAGACGCAATAAAATTAAGAATACAAATAATTTTTTTTTAAATTTATCTCAGTAAAATCAGACGCTTTGATATGACCAATCACACAGAGAGCATGTGTTTAATTACAATTTTATCAAATTTCCAACAATTTAAATTTGGTGATTATGATAAAATTGAGATGCATATCATGTATATTCGACCAGGTTCACGTAAAATCCAGTCCAAATAATATGATTAACTTCAAATAATCAAATGCTTTATTTTAGCATATTTGACAAAATTATTTTTTAAAAGCACTATGAAAATTAAACAAGATAATATTGTACTATTTTAATACAATTTTGAAATATAGAAAAGCCTATAATTTTTTATTTATTTAAACAAATGGTGAATAAAAGGTGTGAAAATTTAGGAATTTTGAACTGGTTTAAATCTAGTTTAAAGTCTAAAATCATCTCTGAGTCATTCATAAAATTAACGATAGCTTATCAATTAATGAGACATAAAAAATATGTAAATTGAAATACTATAAGTCTATATTCATAGATAATTTTGAGTTATTTCTATTAGAAACAAAACTAGATTTTCAAGTACCTATTGTATGAATACATACTTAAACATGAGTACAAAGATATGTAAAGATATGTAAAATATATTTTTATTTATACATGGTTCTTCATATTTTATATGTATTACGTTTTAAAAATATTAAATAAATTAAATTATATAGAACTATTTAGATATCTGAACGGCATATTCCACAATATCTTGTTAAAATTCTCGATTATAAACATAAATAATAAAAAAAATTTTTAAACACTCTTATTGAAATTTAATAATTATAGATTTGAAACTCTATAAGATCATAATCATTTTTTTTAAATATGTGTGTCTTTTGGACACACACATGTGTGTATTTTGGATTCTCCAAAATACATTTTGGACTTTAATTATGCTCTACTTTAGATTTAAGTTTGAAGAAAAAAACACATTATTGTGTGTTATATAATTTAATTTTTTAAAAAAAAAAAACAAATTGTTGTA